GCGATTCTATTAGTACTCCAATAATTTCACAGGTATTATCAAGAGGGCCTCATCCGTTATCGCGAAAGTGGTCCCTCGACAGGATTCTAAGAAAAATGGCACGAAGCACGTATAAAAATTAATTGATAAGTAACAATAAAAAAAAATGTTATCTATTTCCAGGCACCTAGTCGTATTTCGTGCTTATCAAAAATTCCATCGAATATGTTATCAGTGTAAAACGATGACGCGGATCGCCTGCAAAATTCATTGATAAGAAAGTTATTCCGCGTATACCTGTAACATCGATGACGTATTGATAACGATTAAATACAAATAAATGCGCGATAAAAGTTTGATTTTTGAGAAATCACTCAAAAATCACCACCACGACACCAAAGCCGTACGCGCATGCGTTAACTAGCGTCTTGCGTCTAGGAAGGAAGTTCGTCTGTTTCCGGTGCGGAAGTCACGTAGAGAATTCCGCCCTGTGTCATTCGTAATCCCGAGAACGCGTCGTGCGTTACTAATTACATGTGATATTATCATTAACTAAGTCACCGATTGCTAAAGAACTAACGAAAAGACAAAACTGTAAAAAAATTATTTAAAAAATTATTTTTCAGCTAAATAAAAAAACAGATTACCGTCCGTATAAAGGGCATATAAAAAAGCGCCAAATAATAATAAAACAAATCAGCCGTGTATCTGTAACAGAATACAAAACTAAGGCTACCAGCGAGGACGTTCAAATTACGTGGGACGAGCTAAATAAACTATCCTTCCCAGTAGCGTCACGTTAAAGTTCAAAAATTCCCGACAAGCGTCATCGCGCAATCGTCAACACGAAAGGAATTCGAAATCACCGAAAACACAAGGTCGCGTACAATCTCGAAGTATCCTTCGACCAAAAAAAAAATCACTCAATTACCGAATTAATTTTTTTAACGATCACAGTACAAAATAATCGTATCGCCGACAAAAGGACGTGAGGTCCTACAAAAATTTATCCACATAATTGATCGCACGTTAACGCGTGCCCGAGGAGTCTGAGTTTCGACTGACTCGAGAAGCGCTTTGGAGGTTTTGAAGGTGGGTACGAAAGAAATCAGCTGTACCTGGTAGAGGTGGGTCCCGCGAATGATTTCGCGACAGCGGTGGGGATATGCATTACCAGTGTATAGTCGAGCTGGTGAATCTCCGGATGAATCATCGCAAGTTCAGGTGTGACAAGGTAGGTCGGTGGGGACGAACAGCAAAAAAACTTGACGAAATCTCGCGAAGGAGATTTACAAGGGGAATTGGCGAGCCTCGTGTCCCCGAAAGGTAAATGAGGATAGTCCATGAACAACGTGATACCAAGAACCGAGCCCAGTGCAAAATATGTAAACCCATGGGGGAAAAGAAAAATCAAACATCACACGACGAACGTAGAACTCGATAAACGTGATAGGTCGGTTCTCGATTTCGTGAAATTAAAATTTCCCGTTAATCTTATCTAACAGTAGCCATTGTTCCCGGAAAGGAACGCCATTCGTAATACTTACCGACCAATAAGCGACGATCGATCGTATTATCGCATCGACCGTGATCTAACAGAAAAAAGGAATATTGGGTTCTACAGCTGTTATAAACCATAAGGGCTACAGGTAGGTATATACAAAGTACATTAGGACAATAACAGCTGTGCTCATAGAATATATAACGGGTGTTTTTAGTATCAAGTGCGCCGGAGTCTATGAAAAGTCTCAGAAGTTAGCCTACTATAATTCGAAAATGCCGGTTTCGTTGTTTGTTCTGAGCTGCTCTAAGTTTGTTCTACCATGTTCCAGAAAAACAAGTTTCTCAATTGAAATTTGTAGCGGTGAGGCGAAAAAAAAAACACTTCTTTACCCCCCACTTATGGAAAATCAAACTCTTTTTTGTTGTTCAACGTTGTTCTAAATATTGTTCCAGAATAGTAATACCGCTAAGTAAAGAATACCCGAAAGGGATCAAAAAATCGTTTTATGCATATAAAATCATTTCTTTCTACTTTTATCCGACTTGCGACTACCCAATCGTTATACAATTATAGAACAATCATCGATAGACCGAGAACAACCTGGAGCAACCTAAAAAAACCTAGGACAAGCTAGAACATCCTGGAATAACCTGGAAATCGTTCGAAATGGTTCTATATCCACTTGCTATTCTGAGAGCGTTCGTCCCCCTCAGCTTTTCCAGTGTTTCCCTGGTTTTATGTGACTGTCCTACGTGATCGTGGTAGGACGTGGAACAATCTAGAAAAATCCAGAATAAACTAGAAAAACCTATGTAAACCTACGAAAACCTAGGAAAACTTAGAACAATAACTGGAATAACCTGGAAATCGTTCAAAATGGTCCTATATCTACTCGCTATGCATAAAACGTTTTTTTGATCCCATTCGAGTATTCTTTACTTAGCGGTATTAATATACTGGAACAATATTTAGAACAACTAGAACAATCCGGAACAACAAAAAAAAGTTTGATTTTCCATAAGTGGTTTGTTTTCGCCTCATCACTACAAATTTCAGTTGAGAAACTTGTTTTTCTGGAGCATTATAGAACAAACTTAGAACAAGCCAGAACAAGTAGAACCGGAATTTTCGAATTATGGGTAGCTAACTTCCTGCACCCGTCCATGAACGTGAACGATCGTACGAATTTCTGAGTAACTGGATCAAAAATATATTTCGCCGCTTAAAAGAATCGTGTCAGAGGCAAGTTTATGTTCGAGAAATAGAAATAGCATTACATATATATATATATATATATATATATATATATATATATATATATATATATATAAAACACACATATAT